CTCACGCAGAACGCCACTGGCCACTCCAATTCACTCCAATTCACCGGTCGATCTCTTCCTCCAATTTTCCACCACTAGTAAATACAATTCCGAGGAACTTGAAATTCTCCATCTGTTCTACTGCCTCTCCGTTAAACCGAAGAGAGCAACCGGAGAGAGAATGAGAAAGCACTAGGCACTAGCACTATTTTACATTCGTGCACACGCATGCTGGCCACGTAGCACTCGACTGCGAACCTTTCTAGGGAACACTGAAGATCACCTTCAGAAGATCTGTCGTCTGAAAACAGCAATTTTCTCGTCTTCGCATCTCCTACACCGACACACTTATCGCATTGGCAGCTCGTGACTATTCTATTCAAGACAACACAAACAGGAGATGGGACAGGACGCAGCCTTGACGGAGACCAGTGCCAACGATGAAGGGTTTCTGCTTAACGGTATTTACTCTGACGCAACATGTGCCATCAGAATACAGTGATTGGATGACCCTTAGCAGCTGGCCATCTATCCGGCATGCACGAAGGCATGTCCACAAACTGTTACGTGAGATCCGGTCATACGCTTTCTCTAGGTCCACAAAACACATGTACACCGGACGGGCGTACTCCGATGACTTTTCAACAACCTGATGCAGGCAAATATATGGTCAGATGTGGTTCTACCGGTCCGGAAGCCGCACTGCTCTTCTTTTATCTTGAGGTCAGTTATCCCGCGACGCCTCCTTTTTTGCACCTCTACAAATACTTTACCAGGGAGGCTCAATAGCGTTATGCCTCTATAATTGGAGCACTCCTTGTGGTTTCCATCCTTGAATACTGGTACAATAACTCCCGTTTTCTAGTTCCCCGCGTCCTTCCCGCAGTCATCGCAGGTTGACAGAGAAGTGCCAAGCCAACACATGCCTCATTCGCCTAATGCCTTGAGCAACTCAGGGCGCATTTCATCAATTCCAGTAGCCTTTCGGTTTTTCAAGCATTTCACAAGTTGTGTAATTTCATTTACAAAAATAGTAATATCCGTTCTCTGTGATTCTTCCTGCGGTTGCTCAGGAATAAGAAAATCCTAAAAGTACGCCATCCATCGCCAAAGAACGTCATTATCCTTTGCAAGAGAATGTTCACACCTGTCCGTCAAGACTCTGAAGTTGCCCTTTTTTTCACCTCAGAGCCGGCGAATGTTCTGTCAGAGTACTTTGTTTGCGGTGTAGAAATTTGACTTCAACATCTCACAGAACTTCTCCCAGGAAACAGCTTTGGCTTTTGCTACTGCTTTCGCTGCCGCCTTGCGTGCCTCGACATATCGCACGCGAGTAGAAGGCTGTTTGATTCCAAGCCATTTCTCGAACGCTTTTTTCTTACCCTTAACCGTTAGTTGCACCTCTTGTGTCCACCATGAAGATCATTTCTGACCTCCAGACGGCAGGCCAACCCGTTTATATCCGTTGCATTTGGCGGCAGTCTCGAGTTTGCAGTTTTTAAAGAGCTGACACTCGGTTTCAACATCAGTGGTCATCACTGGCACCTGTTCAAACCGTCGTGCAATGTTTGCAAATTTCGGTCTCGTGTCCACCGAAGATAATGTTTTTGATTCGAATCACCGATTGCTTCTGCCACCGGATCTTCGTATGGTACTCCATTTCTTACAGCGCAGCGTGCCAACAACAAGGTGATGTTCGATTGATAGGCCTGCTACTTTCTTAACGCGAACATCCATTACTGAGCGTCTTAGGTCAGACGGTACGATTATCAAATCGATCATCGGCTTCTGTGCACAGGCTTCAAGATACCAGGCGTACTGATGTACTTTTCCATTCTTGAAGAAGGTATTCATAATGGACAATCCGTTCTTTGCACAAAACCGCAACAACTTCATGCCGTTTTTAATGAGGTCGCTAGGGCCGTTTTTTTTCAATCACGCCGTTCCACTTTTCAGCATTTACTGCTAGATGCACATTATATTCGCCCATTAGTGTTAGGGAATCTTTATTCGGCACTTCGGACAGATCGCACTGCACTTCCTCAAGGAAGGTTTGATATTCTCCCTCCAAGATCGGCACATAGACCTGTACCAAAGTCATCGATTTAACCTGTTGTAATTTGAGCTGATTACCACCCTTTAGCTGACAGGCTTCCTATCAATGATTCTATCGGAAAGGTTGACTTCTACCGGAACACCAGCACCGACCTGAGCGCGAGTCGTGATATCGACGCCTGAGTGGAATAGCTTCCATCCATTGAGGTTCAGGAGTTCAGAGCGTTGGTGTTTCGTTGACGAGAGTCTGACAATGTCGAGTTGGTACTTGATGGCCTGATCAGCTAACTTTTGTCTTTTCCTCTGAGTGATGATATGTTCCAATTTCCGACTTTTAGCTCCGACTGATGGTGTCATTCTCGCTGACCTTTTGTGAGGTGCTATAATGGCATCGCGTTGTCTACCTCCTCCGTTCAAAACGGGTACCGACTCCGTTTCTGACTGGTATGTTTGTCTTCGTCCCGTCGGTTTTCATCAGCCGTTGTTGTTGTGCTACACTCCCATATTGCTGAGGGCGATGAACAGGTTCTAATGGCCGATTTTTTGCAGTCTGCCTTAGTGC